CTTAAAATGCTAATGGCAAATGGTTCACGGGAGGAATGAAAAAAGAGAATGAAATGCAGCAGAAAATGATATTGCACTTTGTATTTTATTAGCACCTTCTACCATTTTGACAGATATAAAAGAGTTTCCCACATCCCTGTGCTCCAGCTGCTTTTGTAATAGTAGAGATACCCCTCAGCACGTATCAATGCCAGAGTGAAAAGTGCCAAATGCACAATCTTAGGCACTTTCTCCCCGAGAACTTATCATACCAAGTACCACTCCCCAGTGATGTTGTTAAGGAGCAGTCCTCCAGTTCCAATGGTTCAGATTCATCCTTTCTGCTCTTTCAGACAGTGTCACTCTGTATTAGTGACCAAGGCTATGAAGTATAAATTCATAACAATTTCTTTATACGTGACAGCCCGCCAAGTAAGCAGATAGGGAAAAGAGATATGCATCACCATAGGCAAATGCAGACATAGTTACATAGTTGAAATGAGACATGTGTCCATCAAGTTCAGCCTTCCCCACATCTGTTTTTGATGTGGATCCAAAAGTAAACAAATATCCCAGTTTGAAGCACTTCCAATTTTGCAACAAACTAGGAAAACAATTCCTTTGTGACCCCAGATCTTTCCTTTGATCAAGAAGCCATTACCCCACTATTTAGAAATTATATCCTTGAATATTATGCTTTTGCAAGTATTCATCCAGTTGCTGTTGAAACATCTGTACAGACTCTAATAAAACCAACTCTCCGATCAGAGAATTGCACATCCTTTTTGTTCTTACTGTAAAAACCATTTCCTTTGCCTTAGACTAAATCTCCTTTGTTCCAGTCTAAATGACTAAACGTGGGTCCTATGTATAGTGCTGTTTATGAATAGATTTCCAGACAATGGTTTGTATTGAATGAATATATTTATATAATGCTATAATATCCTCTCTGAGGTATGTTTTTCTAAACTAAAGTTATTTAAATTTGTTAACCTTTCTTCATAACTAAAATGTTCCTTTATTTTTATTAATTGTGTCCCCAACTCTGCACTTTTTCTATTGCCATAATAATCTTCTTTAGAATAGTTGCCCCAAATTTCACAGCATATTCAAGGTGTGGTCTTACTAGTGATTTATGAAGTGGCAAACTTTTATCCCGAGGATTAGTGCCCCTTTTTATATATGACATTACCTTGATAATAATGGCATTATCAACTGCTGATTGACATTGCATATTGTTGCTACTTTTTTTTGTCTATAACAATTCTTAAATGCTTTTTGTGTTTTGTTATCCCCCTATCTATCTAAATCATTCTGCAGCTAAATACTATCCTGCTCACATTTTATTACTTTACAGAGTTTTGTGTCATCTGCAAACCCTGAGACATGACTTACAATGCCTTTGTCAAGATCATTTATAAATATGTTAAATATAGGTGGTCCCAGAACAGAACCCTGATTGACACAACTCTGTACTCTATCTTTAAACCAATGTTCTATGATAAGAATGACTGGCATATAGCAATACGAGGGTACTACTGTATATAGAAAAGAAAGAGAAGGCAAGGAAGGGGGAGGGGTGGCCCTGTATGTGAAGGATAGCATAAAATCTAACCTAATAAAAATCAGGTGTGATTAACAGGCCCCCTGGACAAATAGAAGAGTTAGATCATCTACTAGTTGAGGAAATATCTAAAAAGACAATGAAGGGCAAGTTATTATCATGGGTGACTTTAATATTCTGGATGTGAATTGGAAAACCATAACAGCTGCTTGTGCCAGAAGCACACATATTCTAAACTCCCTAATGGGATTGTCTTGAAAACAAGTCATTGAGGAACCAACTCGTAAGGAGGCCATACTAGATTTAGTGTTAATAAACAGAGATTTAGTATCAGATATTACTGCAGGTGAAAGTTTAGGATCTAGTGATCACCAGTCAGTGTGGTTTAATATAAGAAAAGTGACTAAGTCACACAACGCAAAAACAAAAGTTTTAGATTTTAGAAAAAGACTTTTCTAAAATTAGAATATGTATATAGGAGTCCTTATCAGATTGGAGCAGTTTAAATGGAGTCCAAGAGAAATTGGATTATTTAAAAGTTGCACTTCTGAAAGCAACAGAAAATCCCATTAGGCTTGTCAGGAAGAACAGAAAAATTAAGAAACCACTGTGGTACTCCGCAGAAGTGGCCAAAATAGTAAAATAATAAAAGTTAACATTTAGTAATTATAAAAAAAAAAAAAGAGTGAGATAGACAGACAGATCTATAAGAATAGGCAGAAAGAGGCAAAGCAAGTTATAAGAGCCTCCAAAGCACACACAGAAGAGAGAATAGCACAGTCAGTAAAAAAAGGGGGATAAACATTTTTTAGATACATAAATGAGAAAAGTAAAACAAGGATTAGTTAGATTAAAAACAAAAGAAGGAAGATATGTAGAAGAGGATAAAGGTCTAGCTGACTGCTTTAAAGAAGGAAGGTATATAGAAGAGGATAAAGGTCTAGCTGACTGCTTTAATTAATATTTTTGTTCAGTATTTACAGATGAAAATGAAGGAGCGGGACTTCAGTTAAGAAAAAGGACAAATGGGTCATTTGGGGCATGCGAGTTTACAGAGGCAGAGGTTCTATTTCAACTGTCAAGAGTAAAGACAAATAAGTCGATGGGGCCTGATAGGATACACCTAACGTTATTAGAAGAACTTAGTGGTGTACTTGCAAAACCATTAACAGTTTTTTTTAACCAATCATTGTTAACAGGAGTAGTCCCAGAAGATTGGAAATTAGTGAATGTTGTACCCATTCACAAGAAAGGTAGTAGGGAGGAGTCGGGCAACTACAGGCCCGTAAGCCTTACTTCAGTAGTGGGGAAATTGATGGAAAGCATGTTAAAGAACAGAATTGTTGAACATCTAAAATCACATAGATTTCAAGATCATAGACAACAGGGAGATCATGCCAAACTAATCTTATTGATTTTTTTGATTGGATAACTAAAATAATAGATCAGGGTGGTGCAGTAGACATTGTTTACCTAGATTTCAGTAAGGCTTTTGATACTGTTCCACATAGAAGGCTCATCAATAAACTGCAATCTTTCAAATTGGATTCCAATTTTGTTGAATGGGTAAGGCAGTGGCTGAATAACAGGCAACAAAGGGTTGTAGTCAATGGAGTATATTCCAAGCAAGGTCTAGTTACCAGTGGGGTACCTGAGGTATCTGTGCTTGGACCTATTCTCTTCAATATTTTTATTAGTGATTTTGCATAAGGTCTTGATGGTAAGGTATGTCTTTTTGTTGATGACACTAAAATTGCAAAAGGGTTGATGTTCCAGGAGGGATAAGCCAAATGGCAAATGATTTAGATAAACTAGAAAAATGGTCAGAGTTGTGGCAACTGACATTTAATGTGGATAAGTACAAGATAATGCATCTTAAAAACCCAAGAGCAGAATACAGAATATTTAATAGAGTCCTAACCTCAACATCTGAGGAAAGGGATTTAGGTAGTGATGTCCCGAACGGTTCGCAAATGGTTCACCGCGAACGGTTCGCCACGGACTCATCATTGAGTAAACTTTGACCCTGTACCTCACAGTCAGCAGACACATTCCAGCCAATCAGCAGCAGACCCTCCCTCCCAGGCCCTCCAACCTCCTGGACAGCTCACTAAGAATGCAGCTTCAAAATGGATGCTGTCCAGGAGGTGGGAGGGTTTGGGAAGGAGGGTCTGCTGCTGATTGGCTGGAATGATGAGTCCGCGGCGAACCGTTCGGGACATCACTAGATTTAGGTGTAATTATTTCAGATGACTTAAAGGTAGTCAGACAATGTAATAGAGCAGCAGGAAATCCTAGCAGAATGCTTGGTTGTATAGGAAGAGGTATCAGCAGTAGAAAGAGGGAAGTGCTCATGCCATTGTACAGAACACTGGTGAGACCTCACTTGGAGTATTGTACGCAGTACTGGAGCCCGTATCTCCAGAAGGATATTGATACCTTAGAGACGGGCTACTAAACTGGTTCATGGATTGCAGGATAAAACAAGGAAAGGTTAAAGGATCTTAACATGTATAGCGTTGAGGAAAGACGAGACAAGGAGGATATGATAGTGAAATGGAAAAATCAGTCAATGAATTGATTATTTCTTTGTGTATCTGCCCCTGGCCAAATTAATGAAACAATGTGTGCACGCTTCCCGAAGTAATTCACACCAGACACAAGTTCTAGGTTGTTGAATAACTTGAGGAATGTTTATTCAGAGGGGACGGCAAGTCCCTTTTAAAGCAAAATTACATCATAGGTACTGTCAGAGATAACATGGAATAATACATCAATAATTGGTTAGGTGTTAAGTGGTCTTTCTAATGCTCTGCCTACTGAAGGTGATGTCACCGGGACCATGAGGGTCTTCCACGGTTTCCCGGCGCCATCTTGCTGCACGAGGTAGTTAGTCGATGTTATTGGGGGAGGAGGGGTTAGAAGCCTCTAGCAGCCATTTTGACTAAATTATGCGTGTATAGCTTATATACTGGTTTTTGTGAAATGAGTAAATAGACATTTTACTAACTAGGAAATATATGAAGACCTTATTTCCACAACAGTCCCCCCTTAAAATGGCTATTTACCATAACAACTGCCACTGTCCCTAGCGTATCCCTAGCTGCCTGCAGCTCATCTGTCTTAACAAGCATCGAACTCTTCACTCCGTGGGTAACCCGCAGCGGCTAGTCCACCACAGCTGAGACTTGCCCGTAAAGACAGACGCTTTCCCTACGCTGTCCCTACAGGAATGCAGTTGTCTGTCTGAATTGGTGGGATTGGAGGGGTGTATGTGGTGTGTCACATTCTAGGTCAGTGACGTCTTAGTGTAGTAAAGTAGGGGTTACGTTGTCTATAGTCTTCCCTACTGTCTTCTGTAAATACTTTTGTATGCAAGGTAGTACACAACAAGTTAGGATTAGAAAAATGATAAACACTGTAAGGACTGCTGTCCCAACCTGGAATAGGGTTCTCTGCCAACCATTCATCCATCCAAACCACCTATCCCACACGTTTGTGACCCCTGAGTTGCGTTTTAGTTCATCTGAAAGGCTGTCCAGTTTTTCTATGGCCAAAGTTACTTTTCCATTGGGTCCAATATTATCTGGAATAAATGTGCAGCAGATCATAGTCTCGGGGAGGATTTTACATACGCCCCCGTTTTCTGCTAGAATCATATTCAGAGCCATTCTATTTTGAAATGTCATTTGGGTGGTAGCTTGCAGTTGTTCTGCTAGGCCCTGTAGGGCATCTCTAGTATAGTTAACAAACCGCTGTTGGTTGTAATAGATATAATTAATCTAATTAACATTCTTATTGACAGTGATTAATGGAATCAGGGACTCAAAGCCAGCGGCAACCCTAGCTTTAAATTTGTTGGGTACCCCCCTTGGCACAATATAAACATGTGGATCAAAGCTACCACGGATTGGGGCTTCCCTTTTGACTCTGGAGTGTGTGTGAGATCAAATGTATTATGATGGCCATCCGGGATAATATGGATAGGCATGATGGCCTTGGTCAGTGTGCACTCCCCCCACCACAACCCTGTTAGCTGGGATCTCAGTTGCTAATCACCACACAGCCAATAAATATTCCCAACTGGTTTTGCATGATTCGTTAACAATGCTGTGGGGGGACTATGGTAGGTGGAACAATAACCAGATGGGAATTTACTCACAAATGTACCCATGTTTTTAGGTATTGTGTAGCAAGTGTAGTTACCTGGGTATACCGTGACTCCATCAGATGGGCTAACGTGTCCCTGGGTAATCGGGTAGACCTTCTTCCATGATTCACTCATTGAAGAGTTAGTGGTGGATTGTGCATAAAGGCTTAACCATGTCATGTAAAGTCTTGATGTGAGGTTTTAGTGGGTTAATAGTCATATGTGTAGTTCCTACCCAGTCAGATGAGTTAAGCATGTCTTGCAGGTAGAATGTCCCCAACTTGTTATATGAGTCACCGCCCTTCCAGTACCTGCCCATTACATACTCTTCTGCATCTCCTGGACTGGGGCGTTCTATGTTTAGGGTAAGTTTGATTGGGGTTGACTTAAGGTCATTCTAGAGAGTAGTGATTTCCCATCTTTGTCAATTCTGTCTAAGGCATTCTGAGGTCCATATCCCCATGATCTACCTGTGTTCCACCCGGCTGCTTTCCAAGAACTACAGGAATGTCCCCATGCACCCCCTGCCACACAGATGTATGGGTCTTTTTCGTCAGGTATGTCTTTGTATTTATATGTATAGCAGCATGTTGTGTTTGTGGAAAAGTGCAAACAACAATATCACAATAATCAAAGGTAAATGTAGCTACATCTGTGTTTGAGGAATTGTACTAAAAGGTGTAAACATGGTTATCTTTGGTTATAGCTACTTGTTGGGCCTATGCAAATTGTAGCAGCGTAAGGAAACACAGAATACACAACAAATTCATAGTTCAGCAGGGGTAGCTTCTTCTGGAGCAGGCACTTTCTTGCAATGTGAAGCGTGTGTCCAAGAACTCTTTCCGGCTAGCTTAACTGACGTAGCTGTGATCAGGAGCACTTGGTAAGGACCATCAAATCTCGGCTCAAGGGTGTGTTTCCTGAGAAATTTCTTGACCATAACCCAATCACCAGGGAGCAGCTTGTGTGTACCTGTATTCAACTCAGGATCTGGAATAGAAGAAAACACTTGGGCATGGATTTTGGTCAAGGCATGTGAGAGGGCAGTCACATAATCTACCATAGCGTCTGACTGGATTTGAAGTTGTTGAGGGAAGTAACAACCTAGTCTGGGTGCTGTACCAAACAAAATCTCATAAGGTGATAGGCTATATTTTCCCCTAGGAGTGTACCTCACGCTAAACAACGCTAATGGGAGGCTCTCGGGCCAGGGCATGTTAGTTTCTTGTGACATTTTAAGCATTCTGGCTTTTAAGGTGCCATTCATGCGTTCTACCTTACCACTACTTTGTGTGTGATATGGAGTGTGGAATGCAAGGGTCACCCCCAGTGCCGACCAGACTTCCCGTGTCAACGAGGCAGTGAAGGAGGTTCCTTGGTCGCTGGGAAGGCTTCTGGCCATCCTGAGAACATGTCCACAATGACCAGTGCGTATTCATAACGTCCACTTTTTGGCATTTGGATGTGGTCAATTTGTATCCTCTGAAAGGGATATTGGGGTTTGGCCAGGTGGTTAGGTGCGGTTTTAACAATCTTCCCAGGGTTACATTTGCATACATTTGCATATTGCGCAGGATCTACAATAATTCTGTGTCAAGGTAGTGATGCCTGGTGCTTCAAATGAGTTCATCAAATGTTTTGACAAGTGGGCTGGCCCATGGGCCCATTGAACTACAGCTGGGTACATATTTCTGGGTAGGCAAAACTTGAGATTGATAGTGTAAACATCATCACGGAGAACAGCTCCTTTGTTCTTCCAACTTTGTTTCTCCTGGGGAGTAGCAGCTGCTTGTTGCTCCTTTGGAAGCCTGAGATCCGTAGGTAATGTCTGCATAGTGTAGATAGGTACTGTGTCAGTGGCCACTCTTCTGTCCACTTCCCACCCTTGTCGTGCTGCTTCCTTGGCGGCCTGATCAGCTAAGTGGTTGCCCCGTGCTTCCTCTGAATCTAGCCTTCCTTGGGCTTTCACTTTCAACACTGCCACCTCTGCCGGAAGCTCCAAAGCGTCCATCAGTTCTGCAATGGCAGCCCCATGTTTCACTGGGGTACCGGTGGCTGTAAGAAATCCTCTAGTCTTCCAAATTAGGCCAAAGTCATGTGCCACTCCCAGGGCATATCTTGAGTCTGTATAGATATTGACACATAGGCCTTCAGACAACTTGCAGGCCACGGTAAGGGCTGTTAGCTCGGCTTCTTGAGCTGACTTGGTTGGCTGAAGGGCGGCTGCTTGTAATACTTGGCATCCTGTGGTGACTGCATACCCAGTGTGATATTGCCCCTGTTCATCAGCAAATCTGGAGCCGTCCACAAACAGTGTTTGGTCTGGGCTGAGTAACGCAGCTTAGTACACAGTTGGCAAGCGGGTAGTTTCCATTTTCATTTGTTCAAAGCAATCATGAGGAATGTCAGGGTCACAGTCTATGGCGAGTAAGTCCTCACAGACTTCTGTATGGTACCTAGGGTATCCAGCTGTACAGTGGTTGATGCCTTTTTGGTTATCCCCATAGAGGTCAGTTGTTCCTGGGCTGTTTTATTCCAGGCCTTGGCCATTGGGCCTAAATCTCTCCATGAAATGTCAGGGGATTTAGTGAGAGATATGTGTGGGACAGCTGTTTCCCAATGATGGTAGAGATGTGTCACATTCTCTGGGAGATGAACTAATAAGATCATGTTACCTGTGGAGTCCCATAATAAGTCAGTCAGTGTGATTTGAATTTCCTTGAGTTGAAACAGTTCTTCCTCATAATTCATATCAGGGCCTGGACTATCCTTAAACCACAGGGTGCAGTGTAGCAAATTCTCTGATTGCACATCATGTGGGGGTGCAAGGGCAGGCAGTTGCAAATCTGCTCGGATCTCTGGATTGATGTCCAAGCTGTACCAGTACTGTACAACTCCCCCCTTGGGAAGTGGCAGAAGAGTGGCCGGATTCAGGGAGAAACAGCGTTGAAGAGTCACATTGCCAGGTAAGAGTAATGAAGTTTGCAGGCGATGGTGGCGTTGAGAAGAAAGATGTTTAGGTTGAACTTGCTGGAGGATTGCAGAAATATCATGAGGGGCCAAAACTGTGAGGTGGTGACCAAGAACAAAGTCATTAGTTTTATTCAGGAGGGCACTGGCAGCAAACACCGCTCTAAGGCAGGAGGGACTACCCCTAGCAACAGGGTCAAGCATACAGGAGAAATAGCCAATGGGCCGCTGTCTTGAGCCATGTTTTTGGGTAAGGACCCCGGAAGCATGTCCAGATTTTTCAGAAACAAACAAATTGAAAGGTAACTGGTAGTTTGGAAGGCCCAAGTCTGGTGCTGACGCGATAGCCCTCTTTAGACTGTTAAAACAGTCAATAGCATCTTCAGAGAGATGGAAAGGTTCACTCCTGAGGGTATCATAAAGTGGCTGCATGAGTTTCGAGGCTTCAGGTATCCAGGACCTGCAATACGTGATGAGACCCAAGAAGGCATGAAGAGACTGATGTGCTGCAGGCAATGGGAGTTGCAGGATAGCTTGAACACGTTGTGAGGTTAGATGTCTGGTGCCATGGGAAAGGCAATGTCCCAAGAAGACCACAGAGGGCCGGCACCACTGAAGTTTGGATTTGGAGACTTTGCAACCCGCTTCAGCGAGGAAACATAGGAGATCCTCAGAATCTCGTTCAGCAGTGGAGAGATCTGTAGCACAGAGAAGGAGATCATCGACATATTGAAGGAGAACAACATCGGGATGGGATTTCTGCCAAGGTTCTAGTACCAAAGACATAGCACGGGCGAATTGTGTGGGGGAATTCTGGGCCCCCTGTGGCATAACAGTCCAGGTCTATTGTTGTCCTTTGTGGGTAAAGCCAAAAAGGAACCGGCAGGAAGGGTCTAGTGGCACACTGAAAAATGCATTAGCCAGATCCACAACAGTAAAAATCGTGGCAGTCGGTGGGACCTGGGACAGAAGAGTGTGGGGGTTCGGAACAATGGCAGTATCTTTGACAGTTACTTCATTAACTGCACGGAGATCCTGAACCATGAGATATTGGTCGGGTTGGCCCTTGGCAGTTTTCTTCTTGACAGGGAAGAGAGGAGTATTACATGGAGACACGTACTTAATGATTGCACCCTTTGCGAGTAGGCTTTTGACCTGTTTGGTAATGGCTAGAGCTTGTGCAGGTTTCAGGGGATACTGAGGCCTACGGGGAGGTAGTGCTCCTGGCAAGAGCTTGACCACAACTGGAGGAACTTGGAGGCGTCCAATGTCATCCGGGCCGGTGGACCAAAGCTTTGGTGGGATCCGGTCTAGAGCACTGGGGGCATGTGGGACCCGTGAATTCCCTGTGGAAGCGGTTAGGTTTAACAGTATGGGAAGAGAGCAGAGTACCGAAGTGTCATTCTGTGATAAGGGTGTGGTTAATTGGACCTGACCATCTGCAGTGAAGGTAATAGAGGCCTGTAGCAGGGAGAGGACGTCAGCGCCTAAGAGGTTAATAGGACAAGTGGAGGAAACAACAAACCGAGAGAGAATGTGTGACCCAACATGAAGGAGCTTAGTGAGGGGGTTACTACGGGGTGTACCATCAACCCCAACGCAGGAGACATCGGTATCTGACAAAAAGGAAGGGTCAGGCAGGTCTTGTTCCCTAAGGACACTACGGGCTGCACCTGTGTCAACTAGAAAGGTAGTGGGATGACCCTCTACGGGGAGAACAACAGTAGCTAAAGGCCCTCCTCCCTCCCCTGCAGACACTGCCATGGCAGGGGTTGCTGACACAGGCTTGCCGGTTACCTATTGCAATAAATCTAAATGAGCCTGTTCAGGCCCTGTGTACCGGC